TTTTTGCTACTCGGCGCTGCACTAATTCAACTGATAATTGCGCGGTCATGCAATGCTGCACCCAAACTAAATTTACGTCCTTTTTTTCACACAAATAGAGCTTTCTTTCGGTGTAATTTGATCACCTGTGCGCTTTTTATTTTTCACGGTATAAAGCAAAAAAAGGCCAAAAATTTTGAAGAAAAACAATATTTTTTACTTTCAGCTATAAAAAATATATAGTAAACTCAAAGTTAGTTATAAATTTAGGCCAAAATGTATTCTGCTCCATGTTTTTGGTAAAAAAAAATCCCAATAAGTGTATATTGATTGCTTTGTGTGGAAGTTATAGCGTCTACAAACTATAGTTTTAACGGGACAATTGCGCGGTCATGCAATACGGTACATAAATGAAATTTACATCCTTTTTTTCCCCACAAATTGAGCTTTCTTGCGGTGGTATTTGATTGCCTGTGCGGTTTTTATTTTTTGCGCTATAAAAAAAAAGGCTGACAATTTTGAGGAAAAAAAAAACCTATATTTTGGACTTTTTGCTATAAAAAACATGTCCAGTAAAAAAAAATGTAAAAATCAAATTTAGTCAAAAATTTCTGCCAAAATGCATTCTGCGACATGTCTTTGCTAAAAAAAAACCCAATACGTGTAAATTAATTGGTTACGTGAAAGTTATAGCGTTTACAAATGGCGGAAAAGATACTGGGATTTTTAGGGTTTTTTTTTATACTAATAATGGCGGCGACCAGCGAATTATGGCGGCGATCAGGGACTTATGGCAGCGACCAGTGACTTATGGCGGGACTGCGGCGGACATTCTGACATTGGGGGGTACTGACTTGGGGTCACTGACATCCCCAAAAAACACTAATACAGTGATCAGTGCAAAAAAAAAAAAAAACACTGACACTGTACTAATGGCAATGGGGAGGAAGGGGTTTAACTTTACTTTGCAGGGGAAGGGTTATAGGAGTGAGGGGAGTGTTTTACTAGGGGGTGTGTACTGGGCGGGACAAGGCTGATCGAGAGAGAAAACTGTTCTTTTCTCGATCAGCTCATCCTCGAGCTGACAGGGAAGTGACAGACAGCACAGCTACTGCAGCTGTGCTGTCTGTCAATGTTTTGCCGCCGATCGCCGGGAGATAGCCGGTAAGGACCGGCTGTGATCCGGCGACTCACATCTGCGGCAGTGATAGGCAGGACAGATAGGGCGGCGGCGCGGCTCGCGCACTACACATCGCGCGCCCCCTATTTGTTTACAAAACACATGTTTTAAAAACGTGGTTTTGCCTGCCAGTGCCGCCCCTGCCGCCGATATCTACAGTGGCTGGGAGGAGCAAGTAGTTAAACCTCTATTGTCCTTGCAAGACGGATTTGTGAATGCGAGGGTCTGGTGCCTAATCACCTGACGCACTTTCTGCGGTCAAATGAGTGTCTTTCGCTTAAAGAGCATCTCACTAAAAATGAAACTGCGGAGGATGCCCAAAATCATACTTGTATCTTAGTGTGGAGTCTGAGAATATCAGTAAACCAACCACACAAGCAGGAAATGACGTTTACAGGGTTTTTCTGTACATCATCGTTGTACAGAACGCCTCCAGGTTGCCATATTATATTGACATTTTGGAGAAAGGAAAGAAAAATGCAGACTGCCGCCAATCATTTTCTGAAGATACTAGCTGCCTGGCTCTCATGCTGACCCTTATCCTGATTTCTATTTATTTCTAGATTTTTTTTTTAACCACTTGCCCTCCAGAGGATTTACTCCCCTTCCTGACCAGGCCATTTTTTGTGATATGGTGCTGCGTTTCTTTAACTGACAATTGCGCAGTCATGCAACGCATTAAATTAAATTTACGTACTTTTTTTCCCCCACAAATAAAGCTTTCTTTCGGTGGTATTTGATCTCCTGTGTGTTTTTATTTTTTGCGCTATAAATAAAAAAGACCGACAATTTTGAGGAAAAAAACCAAAATTTTGACTTTTTGCTGCGTTACTTTAACTGACAATTGCGCAGTCATGCAACGCATTAAATTAAATTTATGTACTTTTTTTCCCCACAAATAAAGCTTTCTTTCGGTGGTATTTGATCTCCTGTGCTTTTTTATTTTTTGTGCTATAAATAAAAAAAGACCGACAATTTTGAGAAAAAAAACCCCTACATTTTTTACTTTTTGCTGCGTTACTTTAACTGATAATTGCGCAGTCATGCAACACATGAAATTAAATTTACATACTTTTTTTCCTTTCCTTTTCTTTCGGTGGTATTTGATCTCCTGTGCGGTTTTATTTTTGATGCTATAAATAAAAAAAGACCGACAATTTTGAGAAAAAAAAAACCCTACATTTTTGACTTTTTGCTGCGTTACTTTAACTGACAATTGCGCAGTCATGCAACATATGAAATTAAATTTACGTACTTTTTACCCACAAATAGAGCTTTCTTTCGGTGGTATTTGATCGTCTCTGCATTTTTATTTTTTGCGCTATAAATAAAAAAAGACTGGCAATTTTGAGAAAAAAAAAAAACAAAATTTTTGACTTTTTGCTGCGTTACTTTAACTGACAATTGCGCAGTCATGCAACGCATTAAATTAAATTTATGTACTTTTTTTTCCCCACAAATAAAGCTTTCTTTCGGTGGTATTTGATCTCCTGTGCTTTTTTATTTTTTGTGCTATAAATAAAAAAAGACCGACAATTTTGAGAAAAAAAAATCCTAAATTTTTTACTTTTTGCTGCGTTACTTTAACTGATAATTGCGCAGTCATGCAACATATGAAATGAAATTTACGTACTTTTTTCCCACAAATAGAGATTTCTTTCGGTGGTATTTGATCTCCTGTGCGGTTTTATTTTTTTGCTCTGTAAATAAAAAAAAGACCGACAATTTTGAGAAAAAAAACCCCTACATTTTTTACTTTTTGCTGTGTTACTTTAACTGATAATTGCGCAGTCATGCAACACATGAAATTAAATTTACATACTTTTTTTCCTTTCCTTTTCTTTCGGTGGTATTTGATCTCCTGTGCTTTTTTATTTTTTGTGCTATAAATAAAATAAAGACCGACAATTTTGAGAAAAAAAAATCCTAAATTTTTTACTTTTTGCTGCGTTACTTTAACTGATAATTGCGCAGTCATGCAACGCATTAAATTAAATTTACGTACTTTTTTTCCCCACAAATAAAGCTTTCTTTCGGTGGTATTTGATCTCCTGTGCGTTTTTATTTTTTGCGCTATAAATGAAATAAGACCGACAATTTTGAGAAAAAAAACCCTTAAATTTTTTACTTTTTGTTGCGTTACTTTAACTGATAATTGCGCAGTCATGCAACACATGAAATTAAATTTACATACTTGTTTTCCCTTTCCTTTTCTTTTGGTGATATTTGATCTCCTGTGCGGTTTTATTTTTGGTGCTATAAATAAAAAAAGACCGACAATTTTTTAGAAAAAAAAAACTATATTTTTGACTTTTTGCTATTAAACATGTCCAGTAAAAAAAATGTAAAAAATTTTGTCATAAATTTAGGCCAAAATGTATTCTGCGACATTTTGCTAAAAAAAAATCCCAATACGTGTAAATTTATTGGTTTACGTACAAGTTATAGCGTCTACAAATGGCGGTATAGATACTGGAATTTTTCTTTTTTTTACTAGTAATGGTGGCAATCAGCGACTTATAGCAGGAATTCGGGACTGCGGCGGGCATTCTGACACTGAGGGGAACTGAATTGGTGTTACTGACATCCCCAGTGACACCAATACAGTGATCATTGATAATAAAAAGCACTGACACTGTACTAATGGCACGGGGCAGGAAGGGGTTAACATCTGATCAAAGGGTTAACTCTGTGCTGTTTCACTACTTGGGCTGTGCATGTGCTTCACTGTAAGCACACTGCAGAGCCATACAAAGCAGTGTACAGGAGCTGACAGGGGAGAGATCTGTATTGTTTACATACAGATCTCTCCCCCGTTGGCGATCACCAGGTGCCAGCGAGTAATCACCGGCCTGGACCCGGTGATTGACAGCCGAGGCCACAAATGGCGGCGCGAGTAGGGCGTGCGCACACCCCCTACCTGGAAATGCAAAATCACATATATATATATATTTTTTATATATATATATATATATACATGATTTTGCGCACCCTTGCCGCCTTGTAGCAGTATTTCTGCTATACTGTGGCGCGGAACTGGTGAAATCACATTTTAGGGGTTAGGGCTCATGTACACTGCAACTGATAAACTCACGTTTAGGAGCTGTTCAGCGTTTTTTTCAGCAGCCCCTGAACTCTCCCTAATGTTTTCCTATGTGTCCATGTACACTTTATCATTTACAGTCGTTTACAGGCAGTTGAGTTTACAGTCATTTTTTGAACGCAGAAAACTTGCGTTCAGGAGTAGATCTTATCAGCGTTTCAAACGCAAAATGCTTGTAAACGCTTGTAACCGCATTTATAGGCGTTTGCATTTGAAATTGTTTTTTTAACTCTTCCATTTCCAGATGCTGTCCAGAGCCTTTTTTTCATCATGAAAAATGCATGCAAAGTGTTTTCTCGGTACTCCAATGGACCTGGTACACCATACTTTGAGGTTTTGCATGAAAAAAAAATATGTTAGACACTTCTGCAATAATTTCTGCACAGAAATGAGCTGGAACACATCCAAACACCACAAAAAAAAGAAAGCTAATCTCAACAAATACTACTCTCTCTGCTTCTGCTCTCTTTCAAAAATGTTGAAAAAAAGTGTTTTTCTTATAAAATTTGCAAAGAAATAATCTTTCTACATAAATCTTGGCCAAAATGTATTCAGTTATCTTTTTAGTAAAAAAAAAAAACCCACCCAAATTAGTTTTTTAATCAAAAATTATAATTTCAAGAAATTTTTTTTTTACATTTTTATTTTTTTTATATTATTATTTATGTTTTTTTTTTTTTTTTTTAACATACTCTCACACTAGCATTACTTGTGGGGGGGTGATGAAGATTTTTTATTTTTTTTTACACTGATTGCTTTTACATCCATAAAGGCTGTAAAAGCAATGATTTCTCATTCTCTCTGGCTGCATTCTTGCAGCCATTGAGAAATACTGTGCGAGCTGTGATTGGTCACAGCTTGTCACATGGTACAAGGTGTCACGATCGCATGGTCGCCGCCACCAACATGCGACAATCGCACGACCGCGACTAACAGTAATACGCCACGCCCACGGCGTCAGACCCCAGACCTTCTCACCAAACTCGTGACCAAAGGACCGGCCGATCTAAAACCGAGGTGTGACGCGCGTAACAAGGCCACACTCAGCTGTACCCAGCACAGCGATTGCCCAGCTAATGGACTACAATCAGTGCCTGCAGCATGAATGCGCTTGTTACTGGGTCGGGTTAATTACGCAACTAACCCTTTCAAACTGCCACCACCGTCTTTGGTACAGAAAAGATGGAAACTCTGTCAGAAATACACTATAATGATTGAAAAGTCACCTGTCCAATATGGTCAACTACAGGCCAATTGGGCAGGGAGTAAAAAAACACAGTAGTGTCTCTTCAAAAGGCAGGAATTCATGAATTGCAAGTAAGCGCTTAAAAACAGTTTAACACTTTCAGAAAGAAAGATTTATTACTAAAAGAGTCAAACAGGTGCAATACAATATTTACAAAGAGATGTCACAAAAATATATATATACAGTTGCAAGAAAAAGTATGTGAACCCCTTGGGATTACGTGGAGTTTTGCATGAATTGGGCATAAAATGTGCTCTGAACGTCATCTAAGTCACAACAATAGAAGAACACAGTCTGCTGAACATAATACTACACAAACATTAGATGTTGCCATGGTTTAATTGCACACAACATGTAAACATTCACAGTGCAGGGAGGAAAAAATATGTGAGGCCCTAACTTAATGACTTCTCCCAGAGCTAATTGGAGCCAGGAGTGAGTCAACCTTGACTCCAATCAGTGTGATGATATTGGATGTGTTGCTGACAGCTGTCCTGCCCTTAAAAAACACACACCTGTTTTGGGTTTACTGGTTTCAAGAAGCACTGTCTGGTGTGAACCATGCCTCGCAGAAAAGAGCTCTCAGAAGACCTACCATCAAGAATTGTTGACTTGCATGAAGCTGGAAAGGGTTACAAAAGTATCTCCAAAAGCCTTGATGTTCATGTGTCCACGGTAAGACAGACTGTCTACAAATGGAGAAAGTTTAGCACTGTTGCTACTCTCCCTAGGCGTGGTCGTCCTGTAAAAATGACTGCAAGAGCACAGCGCAGAATGCTGCATGAGGTAAAGAAGAATCCCAGAGTGTCAGCTAAAGACCTACAGAAATCTCTGGCACATGCTAACATTTTTTGTTGACACATCTACAATAAGGAAAACATGAAACAAGAATGGAGTACATGGGAGGACACCACGGAGGAAGCCATTGCTGTCCAAAAAGAAGATTGCAGCACGTTTGAAGTTTGCAAAAGAGGACCTGGATGTTCCACAGCACTACTGGCAAAATATACTGTGGACAGATGAAACCAAGATTGAGTTGTTTGGGAAGAACACACAACACTATGTGTGGAGAAAAAAAGGCCCAGCACACCAACATCAAAACCTCATCCCCACTGTAAAACATGGCGGAGGGAGCATCATGGTTTGGGGCTGCTTTGCTGCCTCAGGGCCTGGATGGATTGTTGTCATTGATGGGAAAATGAATTACAGAGTTTATCAAGACATTTTGCAGGAAAACGTACGACCATCTGTCCACCAACTGAAGCTCCGCAGAGGATGGGTGATGCAACAGGACAATGACCCAAAGCATACAAGTAATTCAACAAAACAATGGCTGTAACAGCACAGAATATGCCTTCTGGAGTGGCCCAGTCAGAGTCCTGACCTCAACCCGATTGAAATGCTGTGGCATGACCTTAAGAGAGCGATTCACACCACAAAGACATCCCAAGAATATTGCTACACTGAAACAGTTTTGTGAAGAGGAGTGGTCCAAAATTACTCCAGATCGTGGTGCAGGTCTGATCTGCAACTACAGGAAACGTTTGGTTGAGGTTATTGCTGCCAAAGGAGGGTCAACCAGTTATTAAGTCCAAAGGTTCACATACTTTTTCCTCCCTGCACTGTGAATGTTTACATGTTATGTGCAATTAAACCATGGCAACATCTAATGTTTGTGTAGTATTATGTTCAGCAGACTGTGTTCTTCTATTGTTGTGACTTAGATGACGTTCAGAGCACATTTTATGCCCAATTCATGCAAAACTCCACGTAATCCCAAGGGGTTCACATACTTTTTCTTGCAACTGTATGTATATAAAGATACTGCAAAGAGAGAATAAGGAGGAAATTAAAGAGTTAAGTTACTTGCCAATATGTCTTGGTTTGTAAGCAGATCCAAGTGCAGAGCAGGAAGGTTCTTTGATCTCCTCTGTTACGATGTTACACTAAGGAGATGTGTGTTAAGCTCCAACTCTTAGGCTTGCAGCCTGTCCCTTTTTTAAAATTCACCCCCCCCCTTGCAAAGGGGGGGTGGCTCTGCATCTGCCCAATACAATATGTTGGGCAGAATGTCAGTGGACTCTCAGTTAAAACTAACAGCTTCGTAATCCATGATATGAAACACACAGTTGACCTGAGGAATGTTCAATTAATTGCTGGTCAGTTTTATGATGTGTGGGCCTACACAGTTTTGGGTGACGAAGGTTACCCTTCAGCAGACTGCCTGGCACCTGGACTCAGGATGTCTTAACCTGGTTGACCCACACCATCTGTCAGGTGATAACGTTTGCCTCTCAGGACTGCAGGGGGGTAGGGAATGAGGCTGAGGAATGAGAAATATCTCGAATAAAAAGAGAAAAAAGGGAAAAGGAGAACTCCGCTCCAACTCTGATGAGCTAGTTTGCTACACAAGGCTGTTGTGAATAGCCTTGTACCATGTGATCTCTGTGATCATTCACAGATTTCACAATGATGTTAGGAAGTGACATTGGCCAATCAGTGATCACATGCAGAGTAGTAAGCAAGATGTCACTTCTGACATCATTGCTTACTACGTGTGAAATCTGTGAATGATCACAGAGGTCACATGGTACAATACTATTCACAACAGCCTTGTACCATGTGACAAGCTGTGACCAATCACAGCTTACTCAGTAGTTCACAATGGCTGCAAGAATGCAGCTAGAGAGAAGGAGAAATGATTTCATTTACAGCCTTTATCGGTGTAAAATCAATCAGTGTAAAAAAAAAAAAAATCTTCATCACCCCCCACAAGTAGTACAGTGTCACTATGGTAACACTGTACTGCTAGGGTGACAGTATGTAAAAAAAAAAATAATAAATAAAAAATAATATAAAAAAAAAATGTAAAAAAAAAGTTTACAAATTATAATTTTTGGTTATAAACTAATTTGGGTTGTTTTTTTTTTTCTTTACTAAAAAATATAACGGAATACATTTTGGCCAAGATTTATGATGATATACTATTTATTTGCAAAATTTTATAAGAAAAACACTTTTTTCTAAATTTGTGGACTTTTTAATTTTCATAGCGAAAAAAAATAAAAATCCCAGTGGTGAATAAATACCACCAAAATAAAGCTTTATCTGTCTCAAAAAACGATTAAAAAATTCATATGGGTACAGTGTTGCATGACCGCGCACTTTCAAAGTGTGATAGCGCTGAAAACTGAAAATTGGCCTGGAGAGGAAGGGGGTAAAAGTGTCCGGACTGGAAGTGGTTAAGAACAGCCTAACAAAAATTATGATTTTTGAAATATATAATCATTTTAATAATTTGCCTTTTCATCTTTTTTCATTTATAGATCTGACATTATTTGACAAACACCGAATTGGTTGGCACAAGACCTATATGGCGTTCGACTTACAAAACAACATCTACATTCAGTGGAAGAAACATGGACATCCATTTGTAACTACAAGCTTCTTCAACGTCAAAGATCACTCCTACGTCGCCAATGAACTTGACCGTCTTGGTGGTGGCTCCAACACAATTGTTGTGTTATCTTTAGGACAGCACTTCCGGCCCTTTCCTTGTTTCCTGTTTATAAAAAGACTTCTCAACATACGAAGAGCCATAGAGAGCTTGTTTATACGAAGTCCGGATACAAAAGTTATCATAAAGTCAGAGAACACCAGAGAGTTTAACCTTGACGTAGAGCGATTCAGTGATTTTTTCATGGTTATATTCAGTACCTCTTAGTAAAGGAAATCTTCAGTGGACTCAATGTTGGGATGATAGATGCTTGGGACATGACCACAGCATTTGGCTCTAGAAATGTCCATCCACCGGAGCTTGTTATTAAGAGCCAGATCAACTTGTTTTTGTCTTATATCTGTTAAAGGAAAAGTTTTGGGTTGGCAGAAAAAAACCCTTTGCATACCTACCTCTATGCTGCAGTATCAATGTCATACTACAACTGGTCCCATGCCGTCTCTAAGACCAAGAACTTACCAATTATATGTCCGTTGATCACTCAGCTCTTGGTCTCAGTTTCTGCTCTTCGCTTTGCTCTGCCCATGCTCACTGAAGCACAAGGTTGCAGAGCAGATGGGATCTTTCCTGACCAGGGACGGACTGACAACTCATGGGGCCCCCGGGCAATAGGGGATCATGGGGCCCCTGTGTCCTTGCCCAAACTCAAAAAAGCCTATGAAAAAGGTACCAGGGGCATCTCATGGGGCCTCCTACTGACCCCGGGCCCTTGGGCAGTGCCCGAGTTTCCAAATGGTCAGTCTGCCCCTGTTCCTGACCCTGGTGTGACTCTGCCCGGTGAGGCAATAGTGAGCAATAGTCCGGTATCAGCTGAGTCTGGATCAAGGAGAGCAACTATAATGTACTTCTATGGCCATCAAGAGAAGTACAGCCAAAAAAGCTTAGGCAATATACTCTTTTATATGTTTTTTAAGAATATGTTTACATTTTTTATACATTTCGAATTAAATATTTTTATATTTAAAGCAGAATTCCTGGTAAACAGTGAAATACCCAGTTCTATAGTACAAAGATGGCTGATTTTATACGCTAGAAAATGTGTGTTTTTGCCTTGCCTTCCTTCCTTGATTTACAAAGGAGACAGGAGAGCCAGGTTGGCATCAGTTTTCTCTGCTACAGATATGCACTACAGTTAGGTCATGTCCCCACCCTGCCTGTGATTGGACAGTGAAAGGGCAATAGCAGACAGGAGGGGCTCATCCTTCTGCTCATTTGTAGTGTTGCTCTTACATAGTTACATAGTTAGTCTGGCTGAAAAAAGGCAAAAGTTCATCCAGTTCAATCAAGAAAAAAGTTATAATCCTACACCCACAGTTGATCCAGAGGAAGGCAAAAAAAAAAAAAAAACACAGCAAAGCACGATCCAATTTGCTCCTGCAGGGAAAAAAAATTCCTTCCTGATCCCCCGAGAGGCAATCGGATATTCCCTGGATCAACTTTTCCCTTTTAAATGTTAGTATCCAGTTATATTCTGTGTATCTAGAAAATAATCCAGGACATTTTAAAACCACTTCCAGTCCGGACACTTTCACCCCTTTTGTGCTTAGGCCAATTTACAGCTTTCAGCGCTATCACACTTTGAATGACAATTGCGCGGTCATGCAACACTGTACCCATATGAATTTTTTATAATTTTTTTTTAGACAGATAAAACTTTTTTTTTGCTGGTATTTATTCACCACTGGGTTTTTAAATTTTTTTTGCTATATAATTGATATATAAAGTCCAAACATTTTGAAAAAAAAGTGTTTTTCTTATAACATTTTGCAAAGAAATAATCTTTCTTCATAAATCTTGGCCAAAATGTATTCAATTATCTTTTTAGTAAAAAAAAAATAACCCAAATTAGTTTATAACCAAAAATTATATATTATTATATTTTTTAATTTTTAATTTTTATTTAATTTTTTTATATTATTATTTATTTTTTAATTTTTTTTTTTTACATACTGTCACCCTAGCACACTATGGTGACACTGTACTACTTTCGGCGGGTGATGAAGATTTTTTTTTTTTTACACTGATTGCTTTTACACCCATAAAGGCTGTAAAAGCAATCATTTCTCCTTCTTTCTGGCTGCATTCTTGCAGCCATTGAGCAATACTGTGGGAGATGTGATTGGTCACAGCTTGTCACATGGTACAAGGCTGTTGTGAATAGCCTTGTACCATGTGACCTCTGTGATCATTCACAGATCTCACAAGTAGTAAGCAATGATGTCAGGAAGTGACATCTTGCTTACTACTATTCATGTGATCACTGATTGGACAATCAGGGATCACATGTTTGGGACCTCACACAGAGGTCCCGTACAACGATCGTAGTGCTGCACGCTCCCAGGGAGCGTGCACAGGCTGTGAATGCGGGTACCGTTTATAAATCCGCTCCTGCACTGCTCCTATCCGGCCGTTTATGTACATGGGCCGGATGGGAAGTGGTTAAAGCAATCCACTGAGCTGGCCAGAACCAACTCTTGAGAGAGTGTATTCCACATTTTCACAGCTCTTACGATGAAGAAACCTCATGACAGACTTACTTACTTGAAAAGCAAATCCATCCAGCAGTGCACTGTCACCACTGACAGGGATTCCATCTTCACCCGATCTTCCTTCCAGGTTCGCGTGCTCTGCCCATTCAAACAGCTGAGCCGCGATGATGTCACTCCCGTGCATGCGTGGTGACGTCACCAGCTGCTACAGAATATCTCCTAAATGGTGCAGGTTTACAAGATATTCACTATACCTACAGGTAAGCTTTATTATTGGCCTACCTGTAGGTACAAGTTAAAAATGGAGTTTACAACCACTTTAAAGAGGACCTTCACACCAAGTTTTTTTTAAAAATAGAGTCAGCAGGCACCTCTATGTTGTCTCTCTATGTGGTCATTTTGGATTTGGGAACTGGCTGTGGCTTCCTGATGATTGACATTTAGCTCCCTACTACACATTTACAAGATTGTGCTGCACAGGAAAACTGGTGTTGTCCTGTGTGACCTGTCCCAGGAGGCCACTTGTGTGTGTGGGGGGTCATCCTTGCCTAGGCTAGGATTGAGGAAGTGGGAGCTGGTAACACCAAAAAAGGGATACTTACTTCCCCTAAAAAACGTGCAACTGAGTTACAGTACACACTGGGGGAAGGGAGAGAATGAGAAACACTTTAGGCACACTAGCTGAATTTAAAAACTCTAACGATTTTTATAATTAATATAATAAATACATAGCTATTCTTTGTTTTTTTTATATCTGCTTGAGTTTGTGATACGAGATGGTATCAAATAGTTTCAAGGCTAGTTTTGTGACACTAATAAAAAAAAATACAGCGCAAATAATACAAATAATCAAAACTGTGAAAAATTATATGTGAAAGTCCAAAGAAAAAGTCTCAAAATTAAAGTCCAATGTCCCAAAAAATTTGAAAAAAATTATTATAATTATATATTCAAACTTATAAATATATAAAATATATAATTATAATAATTTTTTTTCACATTTTTGGGACATTGGACTTTAATTTTGGGACTTATTCTTTGGATTTTCGCATATAATGTTTCACAGTTTTGATTATTTGTATTATTTGCGCGGTATTATTTTTTATTAGTATATTTTTTGATGTTTAGTCAATCCTTGAACAGCAGCATTTAATTTTTCACTTATTTCCTTGGCGCAAGTTTTATAAAATTTTTGTGTAGTTTTGTGACACGCCATCAGAGGGCAGCACAAGGCTGAATGCACAGTCACATGGATTACAGACCTTCATAAGTCAGTGTGCCAAAAGGCATCGTCTTGTGTACATCGGGAGCTGTGCAACTGGTGCTATTCTGACCAAATACGTTGCCACGTCTGCTATTTCATCATGGGCAGCAAGTTAGGACAAATATGAAACATGAAATTCTGTGTGACACTGGGCAAATCTGCCACAGAGATGTTTGACATGATTCGGCAAGTTTACAGCAGTGTGCAGTCATTAGAAGTGTTTTGAGTGGCACACATGCTTCCAGAGTGAAAGAACATCACTGGAAGACAACGATGTGATGATTGCGGCGTGACCGAAGGACTAGCCCATCTAAAACCGCGCTATCA